GTCGGTCGGTCGGTCGGTAGGTCGGTCGGTAGGTAGGTAGCTAGGCAGGTAGCTAGGTAGCTAGGTAGACAATAAGTATGTACATCTCTTCGTTTGTATGTGTGCATGTGTGTGTATGCACGCATGCATGCATGTATGCATGTATGATTATGTATGTATGCATGTATGCATGCATGTGAGCATGTATGATGTATGAAAACTCGCATGTATACCTACACGTATGCCTGTAGAGAGAAAACTCAGTAAGGGCGCAGGAACAGAGACGATCTAGCTTCTGGGATGTCCATGCTGATACACAGAACCATGTCATATTGGATGCAGACAGAAGCCGTAATGGATCCAGATTGCAAGCCACCTAGCTCATTGCACATGCGAGGAGAGGCCTGTGACCCTTCGCTTGATCGATGGTCGAGACGGTCGCAACTACGAAAGTGTTCACAGACGTCCTACGGTGCTAAGTGTTAGTGCCTGCTACTGGCAGCGGCATCAGCATCGTTATCACCACCTTTTCGGTCGGATCCGACAGAACCATTCAAGGGCCTGGTACAAGAAGCAGTCCTCAACCCTACCTCAAAACTTCACAAGCAATCGTGTAAAAAGGAGTCGTATAGAACCCTCAAGTGGAGCCCCTAGAAGCACCCTATGAACCCTATACAAACTCATCAAAACCCTGTTCTAATCTCTGGGCCTTTAAATTTCACATAAACCCTACGAATCGGGCGCGCACCTCCTTGGGCCACGTTCAACCACTCCCGCACCCCCAAGCGGCCCTGCAGCATCCCCTCGGCTTTCATCCCACTCTTCCTTGGTGTTTTAATTTAAGTGGGGTTTAGGATTCAGGGTCTTGGGTGTAGGGCTTAAGGTTTCGGGGCCTTCACCCGGTTCTTCTTTCGAAGGCTCAGGGTGCTCTAAGGTTTACTTTAGGGTAGTTTACAGATTCTCGCGGGTTTTCTGTAGTTGGACTTGGGCTTGAAGCTTTCACGGGCTTTAACAAGAGTATGATCCTGCGTTATACTATATGAGATCTTGGCCTCATCCTGCTCTTGTGTAAAGGATTTTGATATGCTGATGATTTCCGGCAATTTCATTTCAAGTGCTTAAGGATTTAGGTCGTGATAAGGTTTATAAGACTTGCGGTTGAGGCCTGCATCCCGCTCTTCCTGAGGAAGCGCGTCAGTGAAGAACTACAGTAGACCCCATAAAGTTGGAAACCGGGTTAAGGACAAATAGTGCTGGGAGTCCCTGTACATTAAGGATAAAGGCTATTTGGTTTCCAACTTTAAGGCTTCTACTGTAGATGCTTTGAGTTTGATGGCTGGCGGTTCAGGATTCCCGGGGCTCAGGGTTCAGGGTTGACGGTTTAGGGTTTAGGGTTTAGGGATTGTTGGCGCTCAGGGGTTACGGTTTGAAGAAAGAGGGAGCTTTGCAGCGCCGCCGGATTTGGGATTACTGCGACACCTTCTTGGATTGCTTCTGACCCCCAGAAAAGCCCTAAGTTCGAGGAACTCGCGCAGGACTACTCTTATGAAGCCTTATACCTCTACCGGCTGGAGAAGCTTGCAAAACCCATAAACACCTCTAGGGCCTTCCTAAAAGCCTTCGACAACCCCTTACAAAGCCCTGATAAAGCCCGGTCCTACCTACAAAACCCCCAAAGCCGACTCCTACCTGCAAACCCCGAAAGCAAGAAGCCCTGCCCTACATCCCCAAAAAGACGAAAACACTCAACCCAAACCCCTAAACCCTAAAACCCCCTAAACCCAAAACCCCTAAACCCTAAACCCCTAAACCCTAAAACCCCTTAAACCCAAAAACCCCTAAACCCTAAACCCCTAAACCCTAAAGCCCCCTAAATCCAAAACCCCTAAACCCTAAACCCCTAAACCCTAAAACCCCCTAAAACCCAAAACCCCTAAACCCTAAACCCCTAAACCCGAAAACCCCCTAAAACCCAAATGAACGCACCTCGCCCTTCTTTTATATTATATTACAGTAGATTATATTACAGCATATGATATTACCGTATATTATATTACCCTAAACCCTAAACCCTAAACCCTAAACCCTAAACCCTAAACCCTTATATTACAGTATATTATCTTACAGTATATTAGTTTTGACGGCCCAAGGACCCCGAGGCCGCCGTTGGTCGGAGAACCTCTGCACCATGAGAGGGTTTAGGGTTTAGGGTTTAGGGTTTAGGGTTCAGGGTTTAGGGTTTAGGGTTTAGGGTTGTTAGGGTTCAGAGTTTAGGGTTTTAGGGCTTAGGGTCCGGGGTTTAGGGTTTTGACAGATTAAAGGCTTAGGGTCCAGAGTTCAGGGTTTACGGCTTTCAGGCTTAGGGGTTGGGGTCTTGAGTTTGCGGGTGAGGATGTTGCGGCAAGGCAGTGTCGAATGCCTCGCGCTATGGCGCTGAGCTGTGAAAGCCTGTCCGTACAAGGCTTTCCCTTTGGGCAGAGCAGGGCAGGGCAGGGCAGATGAGGGCAAGGCAGGGCAGAGAGGGCAGGGCAAGGCAGGGCAGGGGAATTTAATAAGGACCAGGACTGGTTTTGGGGGGAGAACGTGCTCCGGGACTAGGTCCGACATGAGTGCTACGATCCCCATGACTGCAGGGGGGGGGGGGGGGCCACCCACAATAGTTGGGAAGCCTATGCCTTAAGTTCAGGGTCTACTTTAACCCATGGCTAACATGGGTTTTAAAAGTTTGGGGCTTGGGCTGAGGGCTCTCCAGGGCTTATTTTTGGTTTTGTGCGATGGTTCAGTAGGGTTTTATATGAGTCGGCCTGTTCATGGTTTAAGGTGCAACGGACGAGTCATCACGGAACTGGACTACGCGTTTATGAGGCAGGTTGGGAATACTAAGGGGTATACTGTGCTATATTGCATATATATATATAT